CTAGAAATCTTTAAAATTTTGAACATATGTTCTAATCTTATAAATAAAGTTTCTACTATGGCATTATAAAAAAAAAATAAAATAAAAAAAAAAAAAAAAAAAAAAAAAAAAAAAAAGATTTTGAACTTGGAATTAATATTAAAATAAAAGTATTGCTATTTTTATTTCTAATTTTTTCTAATATCATTTTTTAAAATATATAAAAATACTTCAGAAGAGATATTATTATTAAGTAAACCTCTTTTTTAATATTAATTAAAGTTGTTTATTAGGTTTTTCTAGTTCTAATAATAGTAAAATTATTAAAATTAAACTAGTAGTTTTTTTTAAAAATAAATCAAAAATTATAAAATTTAACTATAAATATTTTAAGAACTACTAATTTGATCTTAATAATTTTACTGCTATTAGAACTAGAAAGCCTTAATAAACAACTTTAATTAATAACAAAAAAGGTTTACTTAATAATAATATCTCTTCTAAAGTACTTTTATGTATTTTAGAAGGTGGTATTAGCAAAAGTAAAAGGTGAAAATAGCAATTCTCAAAATTTATTTTATTATTATTTTTATCTTTTTATAATCACTATTATATTTTTTTATTTACTATCTATATAATACTTATATAAAATAATTCTTTATTTAGTTAATAAATATTCAAATAAATTTATTTTTATTTACTTTTTCTATAAAATTTTTTAAAAAATTTTTAATTAAAAAAAACTTCTATATAATCACTTAAATTTATTTATTAATATAACTATAACTATATAGTGAAACCTTTATAATAGTTATATCTCTCTATAATCACTATTTTTTGTATCTTAAAAATGCGACTATAAAGAGATTTGACTGTATTCATTATGTGAACATTATAATAATAAATTATAAATTTGAAATTATTAAAATCAGAATTTGTATTCACATTATATAAATATAAAATATTAAATTTTAGATTCTAAGAATTTATGTTTACTATAAACATTTTTAACATATAATTTCCAATACTAGTTATAATTAATCCAATTTCTACTATTAGCTAATGCTAATTTACTTGTAATCTAATATTTTTTTTTAAACTATTAAAAAATCCAAAATATTGTATTTTAATTAGTTTTTACGCATATTGTTTATTTTCTTATTATCTAATCAAAATTAAAAACAATTATTTGTATCTGTAATATGAACAATCAATCAAACTCTATAATCTATAAATATACAAATATTAAGTGTCCTCTAACCATAATGTTCTTTGACAATTAAAGTTATTAAAGTCAAATTTACCTATATAACTTGCTACTGTGATAATTAATTTATTATAAAACAATAGAGAATTAATTTTTTACATTTATATAATATACAATAGAATTCGAATACATTACCATCTTCATATTTAAATTTTGGTTATCAGGAATTTTCCCACGTGACAATTCTTCTTTACGCTAAAAATTAAAACGCGAATAAGAATAAAGTCAGTAATCATTTTTAATTCATATGTTATTCGTGCGCGTTATCTTTAACAAATGTAAATTCACATTACAAAAAAAATGTAAGGCCATATAAATTGGTTTTCATAAGGTAGGCCGATTTTTATATAGTAATTATTTTTTATAAATGTATGAGCACAATTAGAAAAAAAAAACAATTTTGATTTAAATATATCAGGCAGAAAAAATGTCGCGAACCATTGACCGCCAAACTCTACAGTAAATCAACGTAATATATATTTTTTATCATTCATTATCTGTTATTCTAGATTTCATTTGAAATTAAAATAGATAATAAATGATAAAAAAAAAATATTATGGTATCATAACATTTTTTCTGTCATGACCTTTCTTATTACTTAATGGATCCAGTCCTTGAAAAATTTAGTTAGCAATTTTTTAGTCACGAAGCTGAACATGACGAATTTAAGTCAATGTCAAAGTTATTATATTGACCTATTAAATTCCATATCCAAATACAGTATTTGTTACCGCTTTCTTGCAGTTCCTATTGGTCACAAAAACATCTAATCGGAGCATGTGATGTGTCTGCCGACCAATAAGAACTACGGATAAGCAGAAAGTGGAGACAAAATTAGTAAATGTCAAAAGCGATACATTTCACCAAACGACTAAAACTAGTCATACACTTGCTAATCATATTTTTCAGGCCTGAATCCCAATAAGCGATAAATTCAGGTTTTTTTCCCTTGGTGTCATTCATATAGTCAACACTCTCGATAACGAACAGATTGTTATAAAAGTTTGTTAAAGTATTGACCGTATGTACAGTATATATATATATATATATATATATATAGAAAAAATTTCTATACATATACATATAAAAAATATTAATTTTATAAAAAAAATCGACCAGCGAATAATGAAAACCAATTAATAAAGTATAAATGGCCAAATCTACACCACTCCAATTTCCTACCCGTTCCCAATCTTTATCCAAAGTCTTTGCTCTTTGAATAATCAATTCTCTTCGTTTGTTAGCCATAACAATTTCCTTAAAAAACAACAGAGATAAATTAATAATTAATTAATATTAAAATTTCTTACGGTAATTCCATGAAAATACCTCTATAGTAGGAGGTTCAAATCTCGTATGTCTTAACCAACTTTGCCATTGTACTTTGTAAAAAAAAACGATTTAAAATAATCAAATTAAATAAATATATAAAATTTTATTAAAAACAAACTTCTAAATTATCAAATACCAGGTAAAGAATCGCTATCATATTCGCTCAGAGACTTCTTTTCTTTCGGCTCGACCATCCGTTTTTTTCGTCCGTTAATAGGCTGACGACTCTCATAATACTCGTTTCCAAACAAATCTGAACCTACAAATACTCGTTGACGCCAGGGTAAACGTGCTTGTTTCCATATCTTTAATAATCGTGATACATAAGAATTGGCTGAAGACATTTGTTAACAGTCTTAGAAAAAAAAGGTTGATAATCGTTATCACTGTTTGCAATCACATGAATATTAGTATTTAACAAAATTTGCAGATCATTTCTAGAATAATCTATAGTGATAGTCACGATCAACATGTGATTGGTGTTTGATAATCTTTTTTTTAAACCTAAATATCGAAATACATACAGTATTTTCAAATACGCAGATTCAGAATCCGCGAGGATCCAAAAGCCTTAATAAATTAATTTTTTCTTAAAATTACTAAGACTAAATTCTACATATGATTAGGACAAATTCCGTAATTTTATGTGGCGTGATTCCGTTCACCATGCTCGTCTTTAAAGTTCGTTAATCATCTACCCTCCCGAACTATCCCGATATAAATTTTGAATTCTTTAGGATTCTTTGAGAATCTTGGTGCTTTTTTTCTGTGGTATTTAATGGTGATTTTAGGGCATTCTGTGGCATCCAGCAGTGGTTAAAGTCTCATTCTGCGATTGCGATTTTCAGTAAATCACCGGCCTGCCAACTCGCTAAGTAAAGTGCCCGCCTGATAATTTTGCTATAGGCTGGTGGGCAATGTAATTTTTTATGTAATCAATAATCGTTACATATTTATTGTGGTGGCTGAAGCTGAAAATAGCTGAAGCTGAAAATAGCTGAAACTGAAATTTTTTGGGGTGCATTTTTTTTCATAGTTAGATTAGAATTTAGGGTAGGGTTTATATTAAAAGAGTATAAGTAGATTTTAGCAGGGCTAATCAAGACCCCTAATTTTCAGCTACATTTATTATACTAAATATATGATTAAATCTGTTCTTGAAAATTTGAAAATTTTAATTAGCTTTAGCGGTAATTAATAAATTTAAATGAATGATGGTATAATTTCCCATTATTAAATATTCAGCAAAAATTTTAATAAGAATACATAAGAATATGTATTGAATATGAAAAAATTTGCCCATCCTAGGCTGGCCAGCTAACCATGACTCCTACTCAGAAATTTGGAGACCTATTTCTCGAACACGTATTGAGAATTATAATCAACTTCGAAGAAATTTTTTTTTATATAACTTATTGTATTGTTATTTTATATTTGAAATATATTTTTGTTATGCGTCAAATTGATATCTGCGTTAGATTAAAATAATAATTATAATCCCGCCCGCTAATTCTCATCCTTACATTAACGGTGTGTAATACACGTCAATAAAAGCTATTTGTTACAAATTTTCGATTAGCTTTTTATTTCGAGTCTCATATTTAAGTTTTATTATTTGACTCTCTTTTTTTTTATTCGTGATACATAAAGAGTAATATGAATTAAACACGCATGCACTTATATCGTAAAGTTTTCAAATTTACCGTTACAATATTTATATTTTAACCTATTCATCTTTATTACCTTTATTACCACCACCTCCAAATATTTTCTTCAACCTATAAAGAAAAATTTCACATTTATTAATAACAAAAATAATATTAATTATTATTATATAAAAACAATATATACCATTCTACAAATCCATAGAACTTGCATTGAAGAAATTCACCAAGCATTTTGAAAAATGTTCTAATTTCCAAACCAATCTTTTTAATTAATTCTTCCAACCTATAAACAAATTTTTTTATCTTTATTAATAACAAATAATATTAATTGAATATTGTAGAAAAAAGTCAAAATAACTGATACAGTACCATTTTGCCAACTTCACGAACGGGGATTCTTTAGATCTTATCACCCATTGAACCATATATTTAACGTTAAATAATAAATTTAGATTTCAATATTTATTCTTGCAATAAGAACTAAAAGTGCTATGTTAAAAATTGCTCACTCTGTAAAGTATTCGTCATTTCCGTATTCAGCTTTTTCCCGTTCATTATTTTCCTGTTCATTATTTTCCTGGTCATTATTTTCCTGGTCATTATTTTCCTGGTCATTATTTTCCTGGTCATTATTTTCCTGGTCATTATTTTCCTGGTC